ACGACTTAAATGGCGAATTACAATTGTTTTTGGATATGAAATAATAATTATTGTCTTTTCGTCAATTTGGTAATAAAGAATAATATATTTTGCAAAATCTTGTGTTTCACTTTTCATATTCAAAAAATGTGAACAAACATTAATTGTGATTCCAAATGTTCAAAGCTAACAAAACAGCTGTTCTCATGTAAATGTTTTCTTCACCAAACATATTCGTAGTAAAACATATCAAAGCTGTATGCGCGTTGCTACTTTCCGCATTAAAAAAAAATAAAATAAAGAACAAATTTTAAAAAACGGCTGATATTGATCAGCTTATATAAAAAAGCAGTGCCAACTTTTTTTATTAAAGTTTCCAAGTAAAATTGTTTTTCTTTTAAATATTATTTGTTTTCATTTTGTATTAATATTTATAAACACTTATAATATACACTCGTAATTATATAAAATATATACTTTCTTAAATTTTATATTTTTGTTCTTTTCTTGTGGCAATTTTGTAATTTTGTGTTGCAATTACATTATTCCCGCGCTCAGTCAATAAATCTTTTGATTTAATTTTAGATCAGACTTTTATCAGAGTTTTTCATAAAATCAATCAAGCTTCATCAATTTTATTAACAAAAACAATTAACTTTTATCATGGCTTGTACGGCCGTAACAATTTTTTTAAATTTAGTTCTTTATTTTATTTTTTTATGCGAAATGGAAAACTACACACAACTCTAAATTTTTATTATTTTATAATAGTCATTTTAGTAATCCTTAGTATTTTTTATATAGCTCGGTAATCGATCAATTAACTATCATCGCCTTTTTGTGAACGATTTTAATTGAAATTCAATCAAGATTTTTCTGATCTTACAAATTTATCCGCTCTATCCGCTGCAACATTTTAACCTCCGATAAAACTAACTGATTTGCAGGCTTATCCTATTGTACAAATATTTCTCGATGTGCATAGGAAGTACATAGTTTTTGAATGTCTATTTACATCTATTAATAATCTACAAAAGGAGCTATTTCAGCAAAAAAATTAGTAATTTAATTTTAAAATCAGGAGATAAAACTGTTTTTGAGAGAAAACTGGATTTTTTTTCAGAGTATAACATAATTACAATATGGATGTTAGTATTTTAGCGTTGCAGTGGGTAAATTATCAATGTAATAATATTTATACATTCAGAATTAGTTAGTCATTTCTTATACTAATAATTTTCTGAAAATATTTTCTGTAGCTAAACGTTCGCCGGGTCAGCTCATATATATATATATATATATATATATATATATATATATATGAATTAGGTGCGGCCCGCCAAAAAAATTGAAAATTTAAATTGGCCCGTGGGTTAAAAAGGTTGCTCGCCCTTAATTTAAATGAAATTTAGTAAATTTAATTTACTAAATTTTAATTTAAATATTTCTAAGGTATGCCAAAATGTTCAAAAAGCAAATTGCTGAAACTTCTCGTACCAAAAACTAAAATTAAAAAGAAAACCTTGAAAATATAAAACCTTGAAAAAATTAGATTTTGGAGAATTTTGAAATTTTTCAAAAAATTTGACTTATTTGAAAGTTTTTTTTATATTTTTAACTTCCCGTAGGGTAAGTTATAGTAATCGCAAAAAATCGAAAAGGAAAATTTTTATATATCTTTACGTTTCAGAGGTTTCTGAATATTTTGGCATACCTTAATAGAAAAAATGGATTTATGTGTGTGTGTATGTATATGTGTGTGTATGTGTGTGTGTGCTTTTTTATAGAGGTGCGAAAAAAAATCTTCATAAGACACCGTCATCGTTGACACTCCGCTGTCCATCCTACAGCAGACAACGACGGACGGCAGTGTGGAGATTTTTACCCACTAAAAAAAACACTCCTCTCCCCTCTCCCCGCAGATGGTACGGAGAGGACTGGATTGGAACCGCGTTAGCATTACATCGATCCAGTCCGTGCTGCGCCTTGCGACGCCTGCTTCCGACTACTGGTCCTTTTCTATGGTTTTATCCTTCAAAAGATGCTGTGCATAAGCTGCTACAGCTGACCAGTTTCCTTCTTGTTTCATCATGTAGGTCACAAGACTTGAGGAGGTGAGCCTGGTGCCTATAATGTGCTCGGCGTTGTTACGATAGTCCTTCCACCGAGCACATTCAAAGAACGTGTGCTCAGCGTCGTCGATTTTATCTGGACAGTATTTGCACATTGGCGTGCTATGCAAGCCCATCTTAAAAAGATAGGCATTAAACTGTCCATGTTCTGTCAGTAGCTGGGTCAGAAAGAAATCAAGTTGGATACCGTCTTGCTAGCTTTTATGCATGCACTATCGAGATGTTCACGGAAGGATAGCTTCTCATCTATCATTACTCCCAGGTAGCGCAAGGCCCTTGTCGACGACAAAGTTGTCTCTCTCATGTCTACAGTGAATGGTTTACGTCGACGATTTCGGGAACACGGATGAAGCGATTTGAATAATTAAAAAAACATTCGATTTGTATTGATAAGGAGACGTGTTGATTAGTTTTTGGCGAAGGCAGGTCTAGTCGTTCCAAAGATGTGGGGCAAAAAGTGCCAAAAACGGTAACTCAGTTTTTAAGAGAACGGAGCGTCCGATTTGAATAATTCAAAAAACATTTTGCTTGTATTAACAAGATAAAGAACTGATCAAATTTTCATGAAGGCAGGTCTAGCGGTTTCGGAGATCTAGTAGAAAAAGGAAAAAAAATGCCATCTGGCAGACAAAAATGATCATTAGACATATGCACATCAAATTATCAGATATTTTACAGAGATTTTGAAAATAAGTATAAATTTTGTTTACATTCCTATGGGTGTCGTACCAATGGTTATCCGTCAGACGGCGGCGCGGCGCTTACGCGCTTCGATATTTCGTTTCTATGCAGTTAAAGCAGTACGATTGCTTTGAAAAAAGTTCAAAATTTCCAAAATATTTCAAAATACGCTTTTCTTCAAAAAGTCTTTCTTTCAAAAAAAAGTAAATTTTTGTCAAAAATTTATAGTTTCTCAAAAATCTAATTTTTCAGAGTAATTTTTTTTCAAAAATGTTAATCTTTTAAAAGGAAAATAATTTTTGGTACCGGAAGTTCCAGCAATTTGCCTTAAGGCACGATGCCATGCACCACTAGTTTGATTTTTTTTTGAAAATTTTTAACTTTTTTTAAAGCAATCACGCTACATAGTTGTTTTAGAGTTAAACCTTGATTCGGAACCCATAGAAATGTACACCAAAGTAGTTATTAACAAAATCTCTATACAATATCTGATAATATGATGTACATATGTTTAAAAATGACCATTTTTGAACGTCAATTGGCATTATTTTTACCTTCCCGTAGGGTTGAGTTATAGTAATGGATACAATTTTTCGTTCACGTTTTCGGGCGCACGGATCAATCGATTTGAATGGTTCAAAAAACATTCAATTCGTAATGATGGGGAGAAGTGGTGATTAGTTTTTGGCAAAGACAGATCCAGCAATTTCGGAGATACCAAGCCAAATGTGCAAAACATGCGCAATTTTTGAAAGAACTAAGTATCCGATTTAAACGATTCAAACAACTTTCAGCTTGTGTTGACAAAACGATTGCTTTTGGGAAAATATTTTTTGTTCCGTTTTTTTTAATTTCAAAAAAAAAATTTTTTTTGAGTATATAAAATAATTCGGATTTTTATTTTAATTCTAGCTAAAGATCTGAAGCTCATTTATATACTTCAAATAAATAATTTTGATTTTGCAATTCAGTTTTTATAATCCCTATAAATATTAGACAATCATTTTGAAGTCGATTGATTAAGATTGATAAGATTAAAAGTTAATTGATTAAGATTGATAAGATTAAAATTTTGTTTATTTACTTTTCATAAAAACATATATAAACATCGTCGTTCAATTTATAAGCTCTTATATTTTGTCTGTAAAATAAGTATAATAAAAGCTACCGCATTTATCTATTTGAAAGCATTTAATATTTCTCGAATATTTTATTACGGTACGGGAAATTCCAGCAATTTACCTTAAGGCACGGTGACATACACCACTAATTTACTTGTTTATTGGATCTCCGGAAACACTGGACCTGCTTTCCCAAAAATTTCACCAGTTGTTCATTTCGTCAATACAAGTTAAATGTTTTTTAAATCATTCAAATCGGACGCTCCATTATCTCAGAAACAGAAATACCTAGCCTAAACCCGCCTTTGCCAAAAACTCATTAGCACGTCTCCATATCAATACAAATCGAATGCTTTTTGAATCATTCAAATCGGTTTATTCGTGTTCTCGAAATCGTTAACGAATAACTGATGTATCCGAATACACACATACATTCATTCAGATATAAAAGAAGGGTGCATTCATTTTTTCTAAGGTATGCCAAAATGTTCAGAAACATTTCGAATGCAGTTTAAACATTTTAAGTTTTCATTTTCGATCTCTTTGCGATTACTATAACTTACCCCACTGGAAGTTTCAAAATTTCTAGGAATTTCAAATTAACAAAAAGGTCAAATTCTTTCAAAAATTTCAAAATTCTCAAAAATCTTTTTTTTTTCGAAGTTATCAAAAGTTCCAGCAATTGGCCTAATCACCATGCCATGCTCCACTAGTTTGAAATATTGTTTATTCACTTCAAATTTATAAATAAATAGCTTTATAACGGTTTTTGTTCATGTTTGAGCTAGGCCGCTCCATGGGCGCTTCGGCGCTTCGGCGCTTCAGTTGGCTTCAGTGGTATTTTGACATAACGCTTGACCAACTGAAGTGTATTGTCAATTGTCATTGTGTGTGTCATGACTGTCATATGTAATTGGTGTTTAGCGTATATGACATGACCGACATGACTATATGCATAGTTGAAGATGGAAGACTTTTGACGTTTAATATATATTTTTTTGTCTGTTTGTTGAATATATTTGACAGAATGTTCAAATTATAATGTAAAATCTGTTATCAATATCTATGTAAAAATTTTGTAAATGCAATGGATGGTTTGTTTTCAATAAAATAGCATAACAATGAAATATGTACGTCTTAACTTAATCTTTTTTCACAGATCCATTTCCAGTCGACTTACTAAATGGATATATCGAAAGTAAAGATGATGATAGAATTCTTCACGCTTTAAATAGGATTATAAAAAATCCGAAGACTGTATCATGTGATATTAGTTCTAGCATTCGTTTGCTATTAAAAAATGAACAAGTTCAAACGTTGACTGCTCAAGCCGTCGCCGAATTAGCAAAAATGAATGATCAAAGATCATTTTTATCTAATAAAGTCATTATTAATGATTTGCTAACATTGCTTAATAAGGCTATTGCAAGTAACGAAATTTTCTTTGCCATTCAACTCTGCAGAGCATTAGGCAATCTTTGTTTTGAAAACAATGACTCTTCTAACATATTGGCAGAGTTAAATGTGATAGAAACTTTTACAAAACTTTTAAATGAAGCAATTAAGTTGAATGATGATCAGTGCCAACAGTTCAGATCTGTTATTTGCGGATTTTTATTAAATTTTCTTATGCACCAAGAAGATGTATTAAAGAGTACATGGGAATCTGGATTGTTTCTGGATAAGTTAGAATTAATTCTGAATATGGATAATAATACAATTGACAACAAAAATGAGTGTTCTAGACACATAGTATATATTCTTGGTTTATATTCTGATACTATAGACGAATGCTTCTTCACCAAATCACTCAATTCAGTTATAGTGGATTTATTAAAAAGGTCAGAAAATTTGGATATATCTGAAATGTGTTTGCAATTATTACAACAACAATGTGAAAGTGGTATGTAAACAAGATTGAGAAATTTTAGAAAATTTATTATAATATAATTATCACATATACAGTGGCGCCTGAGGCAAATTTTTGATGGGTGGGCCCGTTTTTTTTTTTTTTAGACAGCCAGTGTGAGCTGGTTTTCATCAAAAAACATGGGTCGGCTCAAGCCCACCCAGCTCGCACGGTTTCGACGCCACTGCATATATATATGTATATATATATATATATATATATATATATATATATATATATATTAAATTTTTTTATTATAATTTTGATGTTGAAATATGTGATATTCAGTTTTCAGGGCAATACATCAATTAAAAAATTTGTATGACTTTAAAACATTTTTATTTTTTCCATACGTTTCGACACATTGTTTTGTGTCATCTTCAGTGGACTATGTAATTGAATTAATCCTAATTATTTCATATTATAAATGTTCACAATGCACAATCCTAATTATTTCATATTATAGATGTTCACAATGCAACAAAAAACCAATCCTTGTCATTTTAAATTGAACAATATATAAATTTTTGACTGAGATTTTTAATGAATTTGTAAAGTACATCACGCCGTACATTTCTGTGCTCCGATGCACGGGTGACGACTCAATTTATATATTGTTCAATTTAAAATGACAAGGATTGGTTTTTTGTTGCATTGTGAACATCTATAATATGAAATAATTAGGATTGTGCATTGTGAACATTTATAATATGAAATAATTAGGATTAATTCAATTACATAGTCCACTGAAGATGACACAAAACAATGTGTCGAAACGTATGGAAAAAATAAAAATGTTTTAAAGTCATACAAATTTTTTAATTGATGTATTGCCCTGAAAACTGAATATCATATATATATATATATATATATATATATATGTTTAATTTGAGTTTAATAATCGGGCGTAACATCAATAAAAATAGATATAAAAATAGAATCTATTTTTATTGATGTTACGCCCGATTATTAAACTCAAATTAAACATATATATCAACATCAAATTCAAGACTATTCAAAAATATATATATATATATATATATATATATTTTAATTTGAGTTTAATATTCGTATATATATATTTTTAATTTGAGTTTAATACTCAAATTAAACATATATATCAACCTCAAATTCAAGACTATTCAAAAAAAAAAAATATATATATATATATATGTATATGTGACAGTAAATCAGAAATAATACATTTCAGATTTACTGTCGCTTCGAAAGTTTTAAGCAACATGTTAGGGATTGTTCAAGTATTACGTAAGCAGATTTATTACAATTATTTTCCTTCCCCCTCCCCTTTGTCAGCGAAAGTAAGCAAAAGTTCTTACCCAAAATAAGCTATAGTGCTTACGTAATACTTGAACGGCCCGTTACTCTCTACATTAAGAAATTTCTAAAAATATATATAATTGCTAATTTAAACTGACAAGTATTGGTCTATTAGTGCTATTGTAAATTATTTTTATCTGAGATAATTAGGAGTATTCTAGATTACATTCCACCGAAGATGACATAAAATAATATTTCGAAACAAATGAAATAATAAAAATTGTATAAAGGGTATGGGCGTGTTTCCATACAGAATTGGCCCCACCCTGGTATTTAAATAATTTTGATGCCATTTTATAGGTATTTTCGAGAAAATTCGAAATACCAAATTTCAAATCCGTAGCTCATCATTTGGCCGAGATATCAGTGAAAACATGTGAAAGTGGCCCATTTTTTCAAACTCACTTTTTGTCGGAAATATGAGAGATATCGAAAAACTGTTAACGTCATTCTATTTGTACTGATCTTGTCTAAATATATTAGTCAAAACTTATATGGCGAATGAAAATAATCAATAATAATAATTATTGTTTTATTCGGCGCGTTGGATTTTTTATTATTACAAGTGTACTTTTTTGTTGTTTGTTGTCATTTTTATTAACACATTACTCATGAATAGTTTCCCTTACAAAATAATCAATACAATGATTAAAAATAGAATTAAATTTTTATTAGACAAACAAAAAATAACTATAAATTGCCCAGAAAACTTATCTGTATCAGAAAACAAATGTTTTTTGAATTTTCTGTATATAGAGAAAGATTTAGACCTTTTATCCAAAAGACTTTTTAATAAACACTATATTAACATATCCGTGTCACCCTTACTACAACTGCAAGATATATACACAAACATTAAAGACGGTATACCTACCATAAAAAGAAAAGATATTGTTTACAAAATAAACTGCTTGAAATGCGATTCATCTTATATTGGTCAAACATGTCAAAATTTAGAAAAAAGATTAAGACAACATGAATTACAAAGTAAACATAGTAAAAATGAAAACAAACAACAAAAAAGTACACTTGTAGACCACGTTATCTCTAACAACCATGGTTTCGATTTCAATAATCCGCACATATTATATTATGAAAAAGATTTATTTAAAAGAAGTGTTGCAGAATCGATGTTAATAGCTCATACATATAATACAGTAAATTTACGGACAGATACCAATATATTACATGATGCATATCTAAACTTTATTATGTAATACTTTGTAGTTTTTTATGTACGTATGCATGTATATGTATGTATGTGTGTATTTATATATATATGTGCGTATGTGTAATGTGGTGTATGTATGTGTGTATATGGTGTGTTTATATATATGTAGGTGTGTGTTTGTGTGATGTATGTATATATATATATATATATATATATATATGTGTGTGTGTGTATGTATAGATATGTGTGTATATGTATGTACGTGTATGTCGTGGGTATATATGTATTTGTATATGTGATGTTTGTGCTATGGATATGCATTTGTATATATATATATATTTTTGAATATTCTTGAATTTGATGTTGATATATATGTTTAATTTGAGTTTAATATTCGGGCGTAACATCAATAAAAATAGTATGAGTTTTTTTTTTTTTTAAATTTATTTATTTAAAATCCATACGTTTCGGCTAGCATCTTAGCCATCATTCAGTGGTAATCAAGTTAACTATAAAAATTGGAACTAAATAAATTATATGAAAGGAAATTTCATGGAAAAACAATAATAATAATAATAGTAATAAAACACTTACAATTTTGTATCCTAATATAGCATATGAAACCATTATTAATCCATGGTATGAGTATGTGCACATTGATAAGATATGTATTTTTTAACACAAACATCACAAATGGTAAAACACACTAATAATCATGATAACTTGACAAGTTGTCGAAACTATGTATTTACTCTTCGGAGTTTAGGATAGAAATGTCACAACTTTCTCAAAGTAGTTTTTAGCATGTGTTGATATTTTTTGGAAAATTTAAAAGGCGATGGGATTTTGTTATTTTTTAAGGAATTTTGACACGCTATTAAGAAACCACGTGTTCGTTTCGATAAGGGCCGTATTGTCATTGCGTTTATTTATGACTCTGTCGTTATGTAATTGTAAAAACAACCCCTCAGCGAATCTTCTTTTAATTGTATTCTCTTCAAAATGTAAAATTTTAGGGTTAAAAAAATCGATATTGTGATTTAAATTTTTAATATGCTCAGTTAACATTGTTTTAAATTGTTTGGGATTTTTTGAATTATTTTTGTGTTGATTAAGGCGTTTACTCAGGTTTTGGCTAGTTTCTCCAATATAAAAGAGTTCGCAATTAGAGCAATTAATTTGATATACTAAATTCCTGAGCCGGTCAAAATTGAACTTAGATTTCATTTGTGTAAAAATTGAACTAAGGGTTGCATCACAATTACACACCAACAGAATGCCACACTGTTGAAATAATTTTTTCCACGAGAAATATAAATCTTTTACGTACGGTAGGCAAATGACACCAGTATATGATTCTAAGTCTAAACGGTTTTTATGGTCTGTGAGGTCTTTTTGTTTGTTAAGAATGTAACTGCGTCTGTTATTTATGACAGAGTTGATTATGTTCGTAGGATATGAGTTGTTTTTCAGTGTGTTTATAACCAGGTCAATGTTCGTGTCCCAGAAGTTTTTGTCAGATAGTAATATGGCGTGGTCTGTTAAATTTATTATTGTCGCTATTTTCATTTTAAGAGGGTGGTATGAGTGGTAATTTATGTATCGTCCGGAGCTAGTTGGTTTCTGGTACCAGTTAGTAATTAGATTAATTAACTAATATAATAACTGGTATAATTAACTAATACTGGTACTAATTAACTAATTACTAACTGGTACCAGAAACCAACTAGCTCCGGACGATACATAAATTACCACTCATACCACCCTCTTAAAATGAAAATAGCGACAATAATAAATTTAACAGACCACGCCATATTACTATCTGACAAAAACTTCTGGGACACGAACATTGACCTGGTTATAAACACACTGAAAAACAACTCATATCCTACGAACATAATCAACTCTGTCATAAATAACAGACGCAGTTACATTCTTTTTTTTTTTTTTATTTTTTATTTTATTTTTATTCTGCAATCTATAAAAATAATTATATTTAGCAGAGAATGCTGACAAGTGTTTACAATTGGTTGTTTACAAATTAGCACATACGCCCAGTGGTGTATCTACTATAGTTAATATATAAAAAAGAAAAAACTAAAGACAAATATAGAGAAAAAAAATATATAAATATAAAAATAAACTATAATAAATCTCGAGGTATTTTCCTTTTGAGCCTGGTCGGCTGGCCTTCCTGGTATAAGTTGCATGCTAGTTGGTTTGGATGTGCGTCAATTCTATTCTTATAATTACAGGCAAACATTGATATATATTCTTGAATTGTAGGTATACCCGTGTCTTTGTGGAGAATCCATGTTACATTCTTAACAAACAAAAAGACCTCACAGACCATAAAAACCGTTTAGACTTAGAATCATATACTGGTGTCATTTGCCTACCGTACGTAAAAGATTTATATTTCTCGTGGAAAAAATTATTTCAACAGTGTGGCATTCTGTTGGTGTGTAATTGTGATGCAACCCTTAGTTCAATTTTTACACAAATGAAATCTAAGTTCAATTTTGACCGGCTCAGGAATTTAGTATATCAAATTAATTGCTCTAATTGCGAACTCTTTTATATTGGAGAAACTAGCCAAAACCTGAGTAAACGCCTTAATCAACACAAAAATAATTCAAAAAATCCCAAACAATTTAAAACAATGTTAACTGAGCATATTAAAAATTTAAATCACAATATCGATTTTTTTAACCCTAAAATTTTACATTTTGAAGAGAATACAATTAAAAGAAGATTCGCTGAGGGGTTGTTTTTACAATTACATAACGACAGAGTCATAAATAAACGCAATGACAATACGGCCCTTATCGAAACGAACACGTGGTTTCTTAATAGCGTGTCAAAATTCCTTAAAAAATAACAAAATCCCATCGCCTTTTAAATTTTCCAAAAAATATCAACACATGCTAAAAACTACTTTGAGAAAGTTGTGACATTTCTATCCTAAACTCCGAAGAGTAAATACATAGTTTCGACAACTTGTCAAGTTATCATGATTATTAGTGTGTTTTACCATTTGTGATGTTTGTGTTAAAAAATACATATCTTATCAATGTGCACATACTCATACCATGGATTAATAATGGTTTCATATGCTATATTAGGATACAAAATTGTAAGTGTTTTATTACTATTATTATTATTATTGTTTTTCCATGAAATTTCCTTTCATATAATTTATTTAGTTCCAATTTTTATAGTTAACTTGATTACCACTGAATGATGGCTAAGATGCTAGCCGAAACGTATGGATTTTAAATAAATAAATTTAAAAAAAAAAACTCATACTATTTTTATTGATGTTACGCCCGAATATTAAACTCAAATTAAACATATATATATATATATATATATACATATATATATATATATATATATATATATATATATATATATATATATATATATATATATATATATTTTTAATCATGATAATTTAAAACAATTTTTATAAACAAACCGTCTTCTTTCATCGAATATTTTTTCTCCTAGCGACATCTATTTTTCAAGTTCATTCCTTTCTCTTTCCTATTTAATATTGCGTGACTTACCACTTGACCTTGAATAGAGAATTCAGACTCCGACGATCGTTGGTGAGGCAGTAGGTAGTAGGCAGTATATTGAACAACTTGTAACGGATAACACATAATGCTAATTTAGGTTTCCATATTTTAGATTATAAATTATACCACACCGATAATGATACAAACCTAGTCTCGAAAAGTTTGTAAAATTATTATTTAATAAATTGGTGCAAAAAAAGAGTGTTGTTTGTTCATATTTCCAAATTATTATCTGTCTATCCACTCAGAATACATTTGTTATATATATATATATATATATATATATATATATATAATATAAATCTTTACAAAACAAATGATACTTCTGGTCGCTGCAATCCGGACTAATAATACTATGCTAGATTATGGAAAATTTAGTTTCAAGTGTTCACTCATTATGCTTTAAATTCATTTATGTTATGTGTTTGTTTGGTTGACAATATGAAAACTCTTTTTTATTATAGATAATCTGAAGTTTGCACTAGCCAAATGTGGATTATGTGAAACACTCTACAGTTGTTTAGAAAAACATATTTCACTTGCAACTGATCCACAAATTCAAGCTCTAGTTCAACAAGCATGTGAAATAATAGTAACAGTTCTAACAGGCGGTTAGTTCTCTATGTTTGTTATATTTCTTTGTCATTATATTACAAAGTACTGATATACTATAAATTACTTCCAGATGACGCCATGCATTACCTTTATGGCAACAAGGACTTTGTTCAATGTATGATAAATTGGCTTTCTAGTACAGAACCAGAGTTACTTGTGACTGGTGTATTAGCAATAGGAAACTTTTCTAGAACGGAACAACATTGCATAGACATGGTGGAAAATGGAATAATGAATAAGTTATTGTGTAATAACACAAAATAAAATAGTTGGAATTTTTTAATTACTAATGGTAAAGCTTACTATAATTAACAAACTCATTGTTAATCAATTGTATTTTACAGATATTCTCTCAAAACACAAATCAAAATCTAGTGATATCAGATTGCAACACGCCCTCTTAAGTGCTTTGCGTAACATAGCTATTCCACAACAAAATAAGTCCAAGTTAATTGAATGCAATTTAGTGCCACTTGCAATATCAATGCTTGATAATGATCATCCTTCCATCATATATAAAATTTTAGGAACATTGCGAATGTTAGTTATATGCCAAGGTATGATTTTGATATATATATATATATATATATATATATATATATATATATATATATATATATATATATATATATATATGCACGTATGTATGTATGACTTATTTATCATTTTAGAGAATGTAGCTATTGAGCTTCTAAAAAATGAGGAATTGATTAGTAAGTTGGCAGATTGGGCAGACAACAATGATCACCCAGGTGTATCTGGTGAAAGCCCTAGGCTCATAGCCTGGTTAATCAAGTATTGTGGTCAGGTCCAGGACCCAAACAAATCAGATATTATAAAAAACGTAATATTATCATTTGTGAAAATAAAAGGGAGTATAGCCTGTCTTATAAATATGCTTTCATCATCACATGAAGTTATGCAAAATGAAGGATTATTGGCTTTAATATTTTTATTAAGTATGTTAGTATTAGGAAATAATACTGATGAGGATAAAAAAAAAATAGGACAAATTTTATTAGATGCAGATATAATTTCTAAATTAAATTTATTTTTAAAAGCCACTAAAAATGAAAGCAAAGAATTGCTTGATAATGCAATTTTTTTGATAAAGCTTCTTATGAATTTACAAAATGTTAGAGATCTGTTAATTGAAAGCGACATGAAATTAAAATTAGAAAATTTACAATCTGAAAAAAATTTCAGTGATAAGCTAGAAATAATTCAAGATATCCTAAATAATTTTAATTTCCAGTAATTTCTTTAGTGTCTTTTTCAATAAAAGCTTTATGAAATACAACATTGCTACAAAAATTAGAATATTAGTCACTTAAACACATAATTGCATGATATTTTTTTTTTAATAATAAACAATATTAAAATGATTCACTAAGGCGAAACGCTTATGAATACATGTTCAACTTTAAAATTGTTGTTGGTAAAAGTTTCCTTAAAGACTTACCGCACATAATAAGAATAAATAAATACAACTAAATACTGAAGCACCGGCAGGACGTCATGGATATTTGCCAATTTGTATTCTACATTACCAGCTAACTAGTTAATAATAATGTATTTTCATTATATTTTTTGAATATTAAGGAAATTACCCATATCAATATTAGGCTCTAATAAAGATTAAAACACTTTGATCAATCTATTCATGAGGTCTCTGCCTCTAGTTATTTCATAATTTTAAATGTTTTACAATACCTTCACTGAAGTGATATATAGAGGGCCTCCTTTTAGTTTAATGATTGACTAGCTTGCCGGTAAAAAACAAACCTTTATGAAATCTATTGTCAAGGCAGGAGTCGACATGTTATATCCATTCGTATTATCATTATTTACTTTTTTTCTTGTTTAGTTTTTTCTTCAGAAATTTAGTAGAGCCTATGTAATATAAATATATTTTTAGAAAGATCAATAAACTGTACCTCTTGAAATCAAGGCAATACTTAAATTACCCCTACACTACAATATGATGGCTATGATTATGTCAATATTTTGCAATTTTTGTATAAAAATAAATACATGGTGCCATTATCCTTTCAATAACTACATGAACTAATTGAAAAAAAATATTTGAAAATTATTTTAATTACGAAATGTATATAGTTACTTTGTGATAAATTTGAAATGAGCATTCACAACTTGATGAGTATTTACATTAAATACAGTACAATTATTTATCTTATTTTATAAATTGATGATGTTTTAAATTGATATATATATATATATATATATATATATATATATATTATAGAATTTTATGATATGAGTGGAACGAATATTAATTGTTTAATATGAACAAAACAGCACTCAGATTTGTTTAACACAACTTTATTTTATGATTACAGACGTTTCGAGACCATGGTGTGTCTCATCTTCAGTGTAATTTCAAAAACAGTTACTTATATACTACACATTCTTTAATAATTTATTTAAATTTCATTTAATTTTTGATATACAAAAAACACCAACTATTCCTTGCAATGCTTGACACAGTACTGTTAATTAAATGAAATTTAAATAAATTATTAAAGAATGTGTAGTATATAAGTAACTGTTTTTAAAATTACACTGAAGATGAGACACACCATGGTCTCGAAACGTCTGTAATCATAAAATAAAGTTGTGTTAAACAAATCTGAGTGCTGTTTTGTTCATATTAAACAATTAATATATATATATATATATATATATATATATATATATATATATATATAGTGGCGTCGGAAGCAAATTTTTGATGGGTGAGCATCTCGTTTTTTTTTTTAGACAGTCAGGGCGTTATTTTTTTTTTTTTTAAATATTAGAGACAATATCATATATTTGAAATTGTTGGCTCAAGCCCACACGGTTCCGACGCCACTGTATATATATAAGCAAATATTGATATCTAATTGTAATTTTTATATTAATTAATATAAAATTCATATGAGCAATGATCAATCATGGTTAAAACTGAATAAAATTATGTGCTGGAGCAGCAGATTTATTTTCAATAAATTTGAGTTCTTTTTATTTTATCGTTATTGATGTTATACTGTTAGTTATAAATTAATGTAAGCGATTTTGAATCAAAGTTATACAATAACCGTATATTTCATAATTTTGATTAACATCTGATGATGACTAACAATAATTTATATCACATAAATGTCAAACACTTGTTTAACAAGATTTAAAAGCATTATTTCAATATTATTTATTAATATAATTGTTTTGGCATATGTACACAGGTATACACTTCCGTGAGGATTTTTTTAATTTCCAAAAATCAATTTTTAAGGTATTTTTAAGGCTTCCACTATTTTTGTAATGTATGTGTAATTTAAGATATTCCACATGTGATCGTTTTTGGGCATAACATACTAAATCTGCCTTGATAGTAGATATAGAGCAACTATATGTTTTATTAAACTTTTACATTCAATTAAACTAATTAGTAAAGTGATTTTTCATAGGCGATTCAATAATAATTTTCTTTACTGAAATTATTTTGGTGATTTTAGTATCTGAAATATAAAACTTTTTTGGGTGTAAATATATAAAACATTTGCATGCACATATGTACGTATAGCAATAATTGACAATTACTTAAAGCATCGGCGTGTCAAATATTCAAGTAAAGATTCATTGATTTCATAAAAACTTCTACTAAACTCTAATAAATTAACAACTCTAAAATTCATAAAATATTATGCAGTGATTAAATCATCAAACTGATGATGATTAAGTATTGCATGATAATATAAAAAGCTTTAATACATTAATATGCCATATTGTTTTTATTAACTATTAATACAGCTAATTTAGTTATGTGCCATTTTCTGGTAAATAATGCGAAAGGTCGTAATTAATTAGCGGTTTTTAACTTAAAATGTTTATGGTAGTGCTTGATTAATAATAAATAACGAAGGAGGCCTATAATAAGCATCGAACATATTTCAATTGTGACTACTGAACTGTTTTTACATTTGCGCTTACTGCTCACTTACCATGCATTGTTGTCTGCCGCAAAAATGTTACTGAAATGTCATCATTTCATTCGTCTATCGGCTACTCGTTTTGAATAATTCAATAGCTCACAATTCAAAGTTTCTCTTCAACTTTCAAATTAATGTAGGCTGGTTGCTAACAACCACTGACCTTAATTGAAGTTTTAATGTAATTTAATAATTGATCCACTATAGTGGATCAATTATGAAATCGCAAATAGTACTTAAGCATGTAGCACCTACGTTCAACTACACTAGACTAACCTAACTAAATGCTGGTCTTCAGGATAATCAAAACTGTTAATATCTAATTGTTGCTTCACAGCTAAAGATAACGGTAACAGATAAAGAAATTGATGAACACATAACAACATTTTACAATGCAGGCTTACAACCTGCATGTTGGATTTTACAAATGTTATGCTAACACTGCACAGACAAATTAATTTTAATGTGAAAATGTATATTTAGAGAGATCTTTATTTTCAACATTTTGTTCACAATTATAATTTTTATCTTGGGCATCATATCTTACATCCATCAACTAGCAAGATGCTGAGTAGATAATAGAAAAGTGTAATAATTTTAATAAATTAACTAGTAACAAAGCAAGATAAATATATAAAAATTACTATACATTTACATACACACATATTATATATCTATATAATGTATATGCTCATACAAATATTTACACACATACATACATACATACACACAATTATATACAAATACACATAGAATACATCTTAAAAAAATAAAGACTAATCAAATTCCTTATATATATATATATATATACAACTATCATTACTTAATATGTTTTAAGCATGAACACACTTAAGTATTCATTTATTTTTCTAATAAATCACTATCAACGAATTTATTCATTTAGTACAATAATTCAATCTTTTACTCTAAATAAGAATACTGCATATTTTGTCTATTAGACTAAAGAAGAGATAGCCAGAAATCATATGGCATTTTAAAAAAGGCCCTATCTCATCATTTATAAAACATAATAAGAATGCTAATGGCTTTTTGGATTTATCATTTTTCATACAAAAAAGTTGAAGTGCAAACGGGAATGGAGCATGAAAATAACAGTTTTGTTGACAACAGTTGGTTCTACATTGTGTATGGTGTGTCCATTAAAACAAACCAATAATATTTAAATTTTGTAAAATACTATATGTTATCTGAAGACTGCTTTTAAGTTTATATTTTCATCAACCCATTATAATATAAACTCCATTTTTGGTGTATGCGTCTTATTTTTGTGTTTATGCACAACATATACACAATTGCACACTAACATAAATATAGTTTTATAAATAAATTCAACACAATTGAAATTATTTGCTCATGAAATATCAATTTTATCTAGTTTTACCCAAACAGAAAGAAAAACAAACAAATGCATATAAATATTAAAATTCAACATTTCAATATTTCAACGTTCCCTGTACCATTTGCCTCTCGGCGCTCTAAGTTTTCTAGGAGACAATGTACATATAGGGGACACTTGACTCTTGCTTATTTTCTTCTTTTTGCCATCAGACTGCACATTCTTTGTGCTATTGTGAGGTTCATCCATTTTGTGAACACACACATAAGGTTGAAACCTCTTGTCATCAGACACGACAGAGGCATCATCTACAGTACAAATATTGTTGCTCACTATTTTATTGACATCACATTTACCAAGGGTAACCATTTTATTCGGATCACTGTGGCTAGAATTCTGTTGTTCATCTATGGAAGTATTCTCTAAAAGTCTTTCTGTCTTATTTGGTTCATTATCGCTATTAATACTGCTATTGGTTTTCATCATACACTCTACAAAAATGTCTGAATTCTCACAAAGAATATTCTCTTTGCCACTAGAACAGCTGTGATCGCCGCAGACTACTAAAGGTTCACTGGATAACTCCACTATATTAACACTGTTATCAGTGACAGGTATAGAAAGCACAATTTCATCATTTGTTATTTCGCATGTATTGGTTTGTGTGGCTGCATTCACAAAAGTATCTTTGGGAATCTTATTTGTAGTAGTACGTGGTAAAAATTTTTTTTTCTTAGGCCAGCCTGTTTTATTGTTTTTACGTTTCTTTCGCCTATCATGCTTTATAATTTGACTTTGAAATTTTAAATTTTCAAGTACTGTGGATTCTTCTAAAGTTTCTAGAAGATTATTGACTGTGGGCTCATAGCGCACATTAAATGATATTCCTTCTTCCAAAATGTCTTTTACATCAAAACAAGTCTTATCATTACACAAATCAGACAGCATAACATCTAAATGTTGCACACTATTTACACAGACATTTGAAGCATTACTTTCGGTTACATCAGTTGTAATCTCATCCTCAGCTTTTGAATCTTCTATGTTCATTTCTTGATTCTTACGAATCTTAACAAAGCTGGCTAAGATGGCATGTTCCCTTGGTGATTTCCTACATTTTCTATTCGTCAGTAAAAGCCTCTTTTTTCTTTTCATTTTTCTTTTGACCACTGACCCGTTTCCATTTGACGTGTTCAACTTGCAACAATTTGGCTTCAACGGAGGCAAAGGTCCTAATTCATAGGGCAACTTATACCTCCTGCCACCATTTTTTGGTTTAGAATTTAAGAATTTAAGTTCTTTATTCTCATCTTTACGTTTGTATGTATGATACCAAAGTTCATTAGGAGTGCATTCAAATGAAAAGGTAAGTTTATTGATATCTTCAGCATCTAGATCGTTTTCCCTTTTATCTCCACAGACATTTGAGACTGAAGATGGATTTTCGGAATCACATGTATCTAAAAGTACAGGAGTTGGTAATCCTTTTAAAACCGCTGATTCCCCTAAGGATTCTATAAGATTATCCATAGAAGGTTCATACCTTGCATTGAATGATAGGCCCCCTTCCAGAATGTCCTCTATATCGGCAAACAATTTTTGGTCATTAAATGCAGACAACAATGTATCTAGTTGCTGAAAGCTCTCTGAATTATCACTTGTTTCAGTTGAACAACTTTCTTCTTTAATCATGGCCAGTGCGTCCAATTCCTCCTTTTTGCGCAGCTGAACCATACTTGCCAAAGTAGAAGCGTGTTCTCGTGGTGATTTCCTAGATTTACCACTAAGTGCAGCTAAATGTTTTTTCCGTTTTCGAATTTTCTTCTCTGGAACAGAGGGAGCATCAGGCCAAATATTTAATTTACAACAGTTAGGTTTTAGAGGTGGCAGTGTACCCATTTCATAAGGCAGTTTGAATTTTTTACTGCCGATTCCTATCCTATAGCTTTCAAATTTTATTTCTTTGTTTAGATCTTTACGCCTGTATGTGTGACACCAGAGATCATTGTTCAAACATTCAAATGCAAATTTAAATTCATTCAAATCTTCAGCTGATAAATCATTTATTAACCCCACTCTATCCCCCACGCTGTTATCTGGTTGAGTGGGGTTCAAGGGAAATCTCTGCTTATTACGAATTTCACTCAACTTTATGTTATCCTCATTTGTGTCACTATCACTATTGTCACAAACCATATCCATACCACCATTGTCCATACGACCATTCTTATCATGACCATTTATTTTCTCATCATCCTCAGATTCGGAATCGCTTGTATCATCTCTTTTTGGAAACATGAAATTTTCCGCTTCGTCTGATAAAACAAGTAATTCTGACTGTCTAATACGTTTAAATTTAACAACCAATCCTGTGCTCTTTTTATCCGAGCGCGATTCTTGTTCTTTAACTTTTGATTTCGAACCAACAATTTTATATGAAGGAGAAGCAGAAATATTTTGCTTCATATTGCTTCTACGTGGACAATGGTCTTGAGAATTTGATCCTATTTTAAGATTTTTAGCTTCTTGGTTAGCTTTTAATCCAGATGGGTTGCTGGTATTTTCTATAGTAGCATCTAATGTGGAATTAATCCGTGATCGTAACCTGCTACTATTTGCTTCTGGAGTGGACCTATCACCATTCTTTCGGAATGATTTGTAATAACTTTCGCCCTGATTGAAGGTGGCTTCACTGGAATTTTTTACATTGTTTACATCTTGGCTCCTTAGACATCGCTTGTTAATACTTAATTTTTCAACTGTATCATCAGAAATTGCTTCCGAATAACTTGGACTCATATTTAGATCATTTGTGTCAAATGAGTCATTATAAGAAGGTTTGGCATGGGAATCGTGAGGTTTAAAGAAGCTTCGTAAGCAACGTTTATTGTGATCTATGCACTTAGTAGTCATTTCACAGTTTGATTCTGTGCTTTGAATTGGGGTAATTTCACTTTGGTTAGATGATTCATCATAAGAGTTTTTCAAACTGCCTAAGTCTCGACTCCTTAAACAACGTTTGCTGTTTTGCTTAAGAAAGGAATCCACATTAGCTTCAGAGTTTATTAATTTATCTAAAGAAATAAAGTTACTTTTCTGGCTAACATAGTTCTGATGAATAGCACTCTGTAAATGAGTTGGCAAGTCTGGATAATCAATGTGGCAAATTTCACAGTAACCACATTGAAGACTTTGAGATTCTTTGTGACGCGTCCTCTGCCTCGTCTTGCGAGCCATTCTAAAAATCAAATTAAATTACAGTTGGACTACAATCATTCAGTAACCCAAATTATGTGGGCCTAATTTTACAAATTAAATTTCATCAAAAACATGTGAAAACTTGAAAATACTATTTAAAGTATGTCACATAATACATAAAATGTTAATTTGTGAAAAATAAACAGTATACTAGTTATTCAACCATTAAAAGTAATTTTTAATTATTATGGAATATTCACTATTCAATTCAATTTACTCAAATGTCATTTTTGACAATAAAAAATTTAAATCTTACTTTTTTAATTCCATACAAAATGTACTTGAATTCTGATCTGTTTTATCTGCCTGCTGTTTAGAATCACTGGAACTATTATCATTTACTGAATCAACAATTGCTGTTCTTCCGTGCATAGAATTTTCAAATAAATTTTTAGATACTTTAAAGGGACAGGTGCCAAATTCTCCTAAAACGTCTAAAACTGGCCAACTACGAAAGTACTTATATGTAGGCCGAAAATCTCTAAAAAATTTAAAAATTACAATTATTATCAATTAAAAGAATATATAATAGCATATTTGGTATTCTTGAAAACCATGTCATACCCTTTCACTGATTCTACTTTCACATGTGGCCCAAGGAGTTTAGTGCATCCCGCACTAGTATCAATTTTGGTATCAAGTATTGAAGCGTTAGAAATCTTGTTAAGATGTTGCAAAATCTAATTTGGAGAAATAAATAATTTGAATCACAATTTGATATTATACAATTCTGTTGAAGGTGTTTATATTATGAAAAAAACTGACCTTTTATAGAAATTTTCACACAAAGTAAATTAAAGTTAAAAAATTAAGAAAAATAAAATAAACATTAACACAACATCATTTGCACATAAATTAACAATTCACATATATTAAGATAATTTTTTTTTCATTTGAATTCCAAAAATAAAAATATATTGTCTAATATAGTAGTTCACCTTTTCTACATTCCACACAGGAATATACCTAGAGCGTGCCACTTGCAGTGGAGAGCGAGATATATCAAGATTACACTGAGCACGCTCTAGCATGGCATCTGCACGGCTTCGGGGCCCACTTAGCCTTTTTATGCCACCAGTTGTAGTTTGCTGTAAGAGATAAATAATACATGGAATATCTTTAAAATTTGTGACCACATATTTCATAAAAATAATTCAAATAATGTTTTATTATTTAATTAAATTATTTAATTAAATAGTACATTTATTTATTAAAAAATAATTATATTAAGACTGCATAAAATATTATATATTATACTGAATGTTTCCTTTAAAACAAATTATAAAAAGTGATTAGTAAACAATAATCAAATATATTTTCCATAGAGTGATGTTCTTATACCTTTGATACAGATGGCGAAACAGATGATTCCAATGAATGAGTTGAACTGTGGAACGAACTAGACAGCGTGCTCTGTAAATTACTGCTCGAACAAGAATCAGCACTTATAATATCAGTTATCACATGTGTAACATCATCTCCAAGAAATAAGTTGACATTCTAAAATAATAGTAAATTACAAGCTAATAATTATCCCGATATTATATATTTATTTAATCTTATATGCCCTTAACTCACTTCTTAAATATTTGTAGAGAATTAATTTTGACAATATTGTGTCACCAATATGATGTTGTACGGAAGAAATACAAACATTGCAATTAAATGGTATAGGAAATGGGATAGGAAAAAATTCAATGCTAAAGGAGGAATTTCAGGATTAAAAAAGTAAAACATTACATTTATTCTGTGTGATACTAAAGTATAAAAAAATAAAAAAATATTTGTAATATATATGTGCGTGTGTGTGTATGTGTGCATGCATGAATGTGTGAACATATGCACTCAAATTGTGTATGTAGACATATAATTGTTCATATAAGATCAAATGTTATGATATATCAGCAAAGTATTATGTTACAAATATTACATTAAAATATAATGCAAATATATATATATATATATATATATATATATATATATATATATATACATAAGTATCTTTTTTCAATGCTTCCATTTTTGACAAGTTAGTGACTTTTTTTGACAGAACAAAGATGTAATTATTTTTTTCAAAGACAACATATTTGCAAGCAATTAACCAATAAGTATAAATATATGGAAAATTTGTCATCACATCATCTATATAATATCAAGAACATTATATGCACTTACACATTCTGGTAGTTGGAGCAATCTAATGGAATGTAAAATATTATTTCACTTTATAATTCAATATTTTGAAATTTCAAAAAAATAAAACAATTGATATGAAAGTTTGTGCAAAATAAATTAATAAATCGTTTTATTGTTTGACAGAGAGCACTACGAAATAAAATCGTAAATGACAAACTAGTAATGTGTACTTATGAAAAATATTAATACTTACACCACCGAGCTGTTTGATTTTCGATTCAATTTTCGTCGATAGCTGTGGATTTTTGATATCCAAATAAAATATGTGATTGCTAAGCGGTTTCACTCCTTTACACGGCCGCAATTCATCTACAAAGTAGGTGGAATGTTAGTGCAACGAACTCGGGACGAACTGTACCATATTCATAATTAAGTGTTTGTATAGAGCATTTACCTATTTCAGAACTTTTTAATAATTTTCCCTTCGATTTTGTTGGGTCATTCTCTGGAATAAGTACCATACCTAAACACTTGGTACAAACAAACACTGTTTTGCACTGGCAGACTCACTTGAAATTTATTATAACAAGAATATGATACGAGATCGTCAGTAAGCATATTGCGCTTTTTCATAAAGCACATTGAACACTAACAGTAAACAACTACACAACAAACAGGGCAAGTGAAATCACTGTCAATAGCCATTAGCTGCAACTATGCAATCATTTGTAAACGACAAACATTCCTAACGCTCACTATAATAAATATATCACTAGTTTCTTTATACTTGTATTTCATTATCGAGACAATTCACAAAACTATCGTAAGCGATCCACAATATACATTATGTATTTTCATATATGGCATACATGTATAATCTATGAACATAACACGACTTTCGTATAGAATTAAGTCTGAAATGGTATACACAGAATACAGACATGGAACAGAGAGGGATCACACAACAAAGTGAAGCTAGCCGCGTAACTGACTTTTCTATATTTTTGCTCAATGTCGGTATGTCAAACAAACTGCGATCACGTTCATTTCGATGTAGTAGAAACTGGCTGAAATCAACTGCAGTTGGACATTATTTTATTCAAAATTGAATAAGAGTTAATTTAGGAATTCGTTGATAAGTAACATATTCAACATATAATATTATTAATAAATTAAAATATTTTATTTGATTACCTAATTTTTGAACCGTTGTTATATTAGAATTTATTAATTTTATTTGCTCTAATGTTATTGCTATTTTGCAACTCTTTATTTATTAGAAATAAGTAATGAATTGTTAAAAAAAATAATGCATATTCGACAAAAGGATCACTCATAACGTGATTTTTGTAACAAATTAAAGACCATAATTATTTAAATGAATTATATAATCTAGTGTAAACTAAAAGAAACTTTTATATCATAAAAGATCGCTTGAACAAATTTCTATAATTTTAAAATCAAAACAGGCTTAAAGACTTAAAAAGTATATATTAGCATAGATAAATAAGTATATTAGAAACATCTCATCTCATATCTATTGAACCATTTATGCTTACTTATCTATGCATTGAACCCTAATCACATAGATAGATAAAATAAGCCATAGATAAGTAAACAAATAAGCCTAATCAATTCGAGGTTGAATTTTCATGTCATGTTGGCACCGCGGACTGTTTGAACTGAACTTGCTCACTCTGGGACACTGGCATACCCTCTCCGCTATGTTTACTTATCTATGCCCCCTCCGTCGTCAATAGCACTGTCCGTGTCAATAACAGGGTCAATAACGATCTTCGCATTTTGCTTTGTGACGCGGAGAAAAATATTCCATGCACGCCGCACGACTAGTCCAAATTTGATGTTGGATCAAAATACGTAGTACCGCAGTCTCATACGTTGGAGCTATCTATAAATACTGCATCAAAGTAAACTGTACATTTTATTATGTACGTACGTCCATAATGTGCCGCCCTATAAACTTTATAATGTTAAACTAATAACTTTAATTATGTTAGTTCAAGCGGCATTTAAATTTGCACGGCATAAATTTTATGTATCTACAACTAGAACTTAAAATACAACTTCGTTAATAAACTGCTTTTTTTATTTAAGCACATGAGCTTCAATGTTATTAAAAAGTAATTAAATGTTAATTAGATGTTAGTGTAATTATTACAAAAAAAAAAAAATAATAATAATATACAAAGATTTTCACTATGATATTTATTATACAAAAATACTTTAGTAGTAAATTTAAATTTATGACAAATGGTAAACAAAAATTTCATCATGCATATCATACTAGTTGATTTTTATCTAAAAAAAACAACAAAGGTAAAACAATCTAATAACTGTCCATTGGACATACATACATAAACAAATATGATAAAAAATGCAAATAATCTTCTTCAAGCATTAAAACATCTGTTAAAGGACAGTAAATAGGTGATTCACTTGGAGGTCTTAACAATTTAATATTGGTAATACATGAGTCACTTTGTGAAACAGGTGAAGGAGTTTCAGTTCCAGGGAAAAACTCAGGTGAACCTCTCAATGGTGTGCTAGGTGGAAATGGAGTGCTTTCTGCTGGCATTGTTTCATCCATAGATATAATACTTTCTAAGGGAGAATACTTTATAGGAGATAAATCAGACATTTCAACAACTGCATGCACCCCTTCCATGCCTTTAATCAGTTCCTCCGTAGATGTGGATCGCTGAAGCATTGTACTAGAAGCAATATTCTGATCAACAACAGATGTATGAGATACTCGTGACATTGGTCTCTTCTGAGGAGTCAATTTTGATTTTTGACGTGATGTTGCTTCCATATGTAGTCTTCGAATTACATCAATCCGCATAGATTTCTCAGACATTTTCTTAGTACTCTGAGGCGATTCTTGAATTTCCTTAACACCACTGATGTCTTCTTCTTGTTCATCTGTCGAGGAGATGCACTCTTCATCTGACGCTCCTGTGTCATTTCTGTTATGATTGGTGACATACAACTTACAAGACCCAAGCTTTTTTCGCACCATTATATCTTCTGATGACAAAATTTTCTTTCGTACAAATTCATGAAAGGATAATAGCTCTGTACTTAACTCGCGCCGAATAAGTTGTTGATCACGACTTGTAATTTCTGCATTCATTGTTGTATACAAAGTTTGAGCGGCTAAAAATGCCATAACATTTTCCAAAGCAAATAGTGTGCGTTTATAATTGAATTTTGTCAGCCATTCCGTAGTTGCAATCATTGAGTTTCCGCTTGTACTCAAATTGGCAATTTGCGATGTAGTTTGAATAGTCTGAACAGTTTTCTTTAAACTGAATAAATCACTTGCTGTGTTATCTTCAACTTCAAATGAAGAATAATCTTCAACCTTATAATGGTCAACATCACCTCTTAATCGATTTAAATACTTTTTATTCTTCTTATATGACTAGAATAATGTCAAAATAAAAATAATATTAAAAAAATATTTTGAAAAATTAAAAGAATTCTACTTACTTGGTTTAGTACTTTGGTGAATAAACAAACAGCTGACATAACTGTTCCAAATGTTAATGAATTATTAACCAGAGAACTTAATTTTGGGGCACCAAATTGCATGTCAACGAGAGGTTGATATTTGGTAAGATTGATTTCGTAGCCTGCAAGCATTTCTAAAAGATTTGGCCCAATGGAGTATAAACATCGAGTTGAAAGTGTCACTAAATCCAATAATCTGAGGATAGCAGTAATATGCATAAAATAATGTAGATATACTTGTTACTGACATGCTAATACTTCATTGATGAAGATGCTTCTTACAACACAATGTAATATATATATATATATATATATATATATATATATATATATATATATATATACAGTGGTGTTGTCGAGCCGGAACGCGCCGGAACGTTGCTCCGGCAAATCATTTTTGAACCGGAACGCGTTCCGGCAAAAATTTTTTTAAAAAAATTGCTACATACAGAAAGTGATTTAATAAGTGAATTTTATAAACCATAATTTAACTAATTTTTATTAAACGTTTCTATTATTGTAATAAACATACACATATGTGCACAAAATAGATTTTGTAATGATTTTTTCTTTCTTTCCTTTTCGAACGGAACCGGAACAAACATGGAAACCGGTTTTCCAATTTTAGCGATCCGGCAAAAAAAATATTAGCACTATATATATATCATGCACCAAGAAGAACCATTACAAAGCTATCAACTAATTTATTAGAATATTAATAACTTACTTGTTCATGATTATAACAATTTTTGTTGAAGGCTGAGGTGTAACACTGATACGATTTAGATTTAACAAATCTGCAGTTATACCTTCCACATAGCACTTTAACATTCGAGGACGATGCATTAAAGAAATAGCATAGTCAGCTGTGACCTGTGTAGCTTTCTGAAATATATATATATATATATATATATATATATATATATATATATATATATATATAAGTCCTGGATTTTTTCAATATATTTATTGTTTCTTTACCGAACAGTAAATCCAATAATAAAAAACAATTTGTTTTTTGAAGATGTTTAATAACGACGTTTCGGAACTAGATACGTTCCATCATCAGGTTTATTCTGTCAAAAACTATTGATTAACATTAATTAATGATGGTTATTATACAGATTATTTAGAAAAATTATAAAGGAATGGATTATGTACCAGTGTAAAGAGTAATAAAAATTAACTAAACAAGATTTTATATAAAATTGAGAAGCAAAAATTATTTACCTGTAATAATTTATATATCCATATTACTAATATTTTTTGTTAAAAACACTCATTTTTTTCCTGAGGATATTTGTAAATGTTTTGACTTTACAAGACTTTGTAACATACTGTTATGGAATTCTGTCGGCCAGATGTAAGGACTTAGGCAAAAATAATTTTTTATGGCTCTTGTATTGGTAATTTACGAAAAATGGGAATGTATGGCTTTAGCAAATGTTGAGAAATATTATTATGTATATATACATGCACATACATATGCACACCTATATACACAAACATGCATATACACATACATACATATGCATATATCCATATTATTAACATCTATTAATAATATTAAACATCTTCAAAAAATAAATTGTTCTTTATTATTGGATTTACTGTTCGAAAAAGAAACAATCAATATATATATATATATATATATATATATATATATATATATATATATATAGGGTGATCATTAATATGCATATTTTCAAATTTCTTTGCTCCCAGAGGCTCAAATGCTGCCAAATTGATAAAAAATATATTGTCTGAAAGTTTTAGCAGTAAGATTAACTATATGATAGTCCACACTCCAACCAAAGTTTTTTTTAAATAACACGGAGAAAATTCCATGTAATTTTTAGAATCTTATAACTCGACGAGAAATGAATCAAAAGAACAATTTGTATCCTATTTTATGGTAAATTCAAAGTTCTATGAAAAAGGTTTTTTCTATAATTTTTCATTAAATCTATTTGCTTAAGAGTTATTCGAGCTCAAAATAATAATAATTAATATTTATTCTATAACTATCAATATTATCAAGTATAATTATTAATACTTAATTTAAAAAATATATCAAAGTTTTATTGTAATATTTTTAATTATGATCAAAATAAGCAAATACAATATTATTCTCAAAATTTATATTTATATTTATTTATATATATATATATATATATATATATATATATATATATATATATGAACATGTACATCACACTTACCATTACATTGATGTAAGATGATTCATGTTCATCCTTCCACTCTTTTCCAAACTTGATCATTTCATTAACTAATTCCAGAGCTGCAACACTAAGTTGAACTGCATGAATGTCCATGGAATGTCTGGGCAACAAAATAGCATCAAGAATAAATTCTTCATGAACACTCACAAACACTATTGCTTGCATGAAAAAATCAGGATTCTGTTCTAATGCAACACGAACAAAATCTATGCCACTTCTGTACAATTGCCACCAATCTAACACCCTCCACAGACTTGTCTGGCGTGAAATAATAAAAAGAAAATTATATTAAAAAAAACTGCATGCTATTACTCATATTTACTGAAAATAAAATATAAAAACTTACATCATTAGTATCTGAATTTTCCTTAACCATGCATTTTGGTGGTAACAATTGCAACCAGAGATATTGTGACACATTAAAATCAAGCACCATCTTAGAGAAAATGCCCCGAGTTAAATGTATCAGTGTATGAAAAGCAGCAACTGCAATTTTCATTTTTTTTGGTATTTGCACAATACTTTCGAGACACATCAATATATTGTTAACAAAGCATGTTTCCATCATAACATTTCTCCAACTTTCCGATCCACCTTTGTGAAGTATCAAGAGCTGAGTTATGGCACTAAAGCTAAGGACAGCAGGAGTGACATCATGATCTATTTTTGGTATATCATTCTTTTTATTTGATATTTGACTTATTGATGTGTTATCAGTGAGATTTTGATGACACATTAAAGTTGATTCTTTTCTATCAGAAGCATTGTTGCATTCTTTTGTTAAAAATCTAATTTCCAAACATACAATTCGACACAGTGGTTCAAGGATAATCACTGACAATGTATTATCAGTTTTTATTAAATCTTCAAGACTGTTTATCAAGTAAATTGTAGTAGAAAGCAATGCTTCTTTAGCGCGCATATGAAATAAATCGTAAGATACAAATATGTTTTGAATTAATTTTATTGTATTCTCGGATAGAATTTTAGGGCTGATACCATAAATACTTTCATTTCTCCAGTATGACAAACTGACCATGCAAAGTTCCGAGAGTATTATAACAGTTCTCAAATCTTTCATCTCCACAATTTGAGAGTTCAATACTTCTAAACATTTGATAAAACACAAACCTTTTACTGTTGGATCTAGTTTGAATGGTAAAAATTTCATTGCTATAGTCAAAAAATCTTTCCATGATGTCAGTAGACTTAACCATTCTGGTGTTTCATCCAATATAGGTTCAACCACACATGTAGGTATAGCAAATACATGATCCAACAGTGATTTTAAATGAGGTTTGTTTTTATCAAATAGTATTTCAAGAGATGTTTTTAAATTTTTATCAAGAAGACCATGATTTTTAAACAATTCTAAACTAATAATGTTCAGAATTTGAGAGTATGCTTTAGTATCAGGACATATCTCACTAAAAAGTGGAGTTGTGAAATAATTCCAAAATTTTTCATCTTGGCGAAAATCTGAAACTAGCATCTCCATGTGATTTTTCCAAAGTGAATGGAAAAGATTCATAATTCTAGTTAAAAGTGGACTATTCAAACGTAAAGGATCCTGAAATTAAAAAAACAATGAATCGTTTAGACTTTTATAAACACGAATCCAATCACCTGGTAGTACATATTCATGAAATTCACTTCAATAATAACTCAAAATTAATTAGTTACATATAAATCTTAATACTAGTTCATTATTTAATATTAACATTAAAATTAAATATCAAAGATTAGAGCCATTATTATGTAATAAAATAAGTGTAATAGAATTTCAAAATTCACTCTTGAAAGAAAGAAAATACAATATATATATATATATATATATATATATATATATATATATATTAAAATATGTGAATTTGGTGTTGATATATATTTTGATGAGTTATTTAGAATCGGGCAGTAACACCAAGTGAAAAAAAAACTAAAGTACTTTTGAAATACTTTATACGTTTCAGTCTTCATCGAGACCGTCATTCAGTGGAAAAACTAAAAGATTTTATATAATGTAGGAGGAAAATAATATAAAGTTATAGAACTTATATATTTATATTTTATATTTACAGGAAATTAATTATACAAAAATACACTACACTATAACACTATGATAAACCAAGCTATTAATAACTGGAACATTTAAACGAATTATTTTTGACAATTTTGGTTACATTCTAGTGTGTACAGATTAACTAACGCCTAAATACTGAATGAATTGTGTAAAATATTTTTTACTTGATGTTACGCCCTCCAATTTCAGAACGCTATCATTTCTAAACCGCTCATCAGACAGATGACAGATTTATTGTAATGATTGTTCATTTAGTTTTTTACAAGCGTACAAAAGCATTTTGGTCTATTGCATTCAGAAAAAAAGTTATTCGTGATGGAAGTCAAGTGTGATAGTGCGATTGCTTCATATTTGGCTGGAAAACCTTAAGTGGGTATCTTTAGAGCCCTCCAGCATTTAAATGCGAACAAATATTTTGTTTCTCGTACCATATCTCGTAACCGTGATACACTCAGTGTTGCACCGCGTCCAAAAAGTGGACGAAAAAAAACACTAACAACACCAGAAATGATTCAAAAAGTATAGGCAAAAATCGAACAAAATTCGTGTCGCAGTGGTAAAAAAATGGTTCGTCAGCTGAACATATCGCAAAACCGGATGCAACACATATTGAAAATTGAGCTTGGACTAAAGCCATTGAAGTTCCAAAAAGTGCAAGAGCTCATCGATGCCCAAAAAAAAAGTTAGACGGGAAGGAGACAAGGGATTGCTTCGCTTGCACGAAAGTGGCTAGTTACCGAATTTGGTTTTCTCAAATGGAAAGTCATTCCATTTGAGAAAGAGGACAAACAGCGAGCAGTTTGTGAACAAACAAAATGATAGGGTTTACTTGCCAAAAAGGTCAGCTAAAAATTTACACCTTCGATTGGCCACCAGAACTCAAGCGCCGCCGACGGTAACGGTGTGAACCACCGTAACGATCGATGGTGATTTTCTTCATCGACCGTGAGCTCAAAATAATCGCCAAAATTATCGCGAAAATATCTTGAAGGCAGTATTGAAGTCCTGAGTAGACAAAAATTTAGGCCGCAGACCATCGACAATCCAACAGGTCTCAGCACCATCAAACTCAGTACGCGTCTACCGAAAACGGCTTAAAAAAGAGGTTTTTCGCTTCATTTCCATCGTACCACCAAAATCTCTGGATCTAAATTCGTTGGACTTTTGTGCATTGGACATTTTGAAGAGTAAGGTTCGCACTAAAAAATACCCAAGTGTCGATCATCCCAAGAAGGCGCCTAGCCGGGAATGGGCCAAAATACCCCAGAGCCACTTTCGTGCAGCGTGTTATGGTTTTTCTGCCGTTTGAAGGCCATAATTCGTGCCAGAGGTGGCCAATTAGAACAAATCTCAACTGATTCTAAAATTTGATGTCATATCCGCCATTTTTGCTTTTGAACAATGAAATTTAAAATAAAAATGACAAAGTTATATAGCGCTTTACTTTGTTGCATTACATATCAGCCACCCTGTATATATTAGGGCGGGTCGATTTGTATGGGAAAAAAAGTCACATAGGCACATATGATTTTCGTATACTAGGGATTAAAATAAGATACTTTGTCGAAGGAACCATATCTCTAAAATGAATTCTGATGTCCCATGCTTTGACCCAAAGATTGGGCCAAACTTTAAAAATCCTGTTTTGGCTCATTTAGAGCGCCTCAATAATGTCCAAATGTATGACCGACTCCCAGAAACTTTGGAAGGCCGATCTACCCATGCCCGTGGTTCACCCCATGGGACCTCCCTTTAGAGGTCTCCCATACAAAAGTTGCATCATTTTGAGTACTTCAATTTGACAAAAATCTGCGTTTTATTTTTATTATAAAATTTATTTAATCATATGTAAATAAAACTATGTAAAACTCAAACTATTGTTTGAAGTCTTTTTTAGTTTCAAGTCTGGAAAATTTTGCACGGCTCTGTAATATCGTCGCCGTAACAGCCTCTAGCTAGCATAGAAGCGCAGAGACAAAATGCATTGAAAAATTGAAACAAAGAAGAATTTTAATAAATTTTTTTTGTAAAAATGTTTTTTGTGTGTGCTTGAATTAATATCTAAAAAAATTGTTTAAAAAAAAATTTTTGCTGATTGTGAGTAAAATACCAAAAACGATTTTTTGCAATATTTGTATGGGACGTCCCAGGGGGTAAACCATAGGTAAGGGTAGAGCGGCCTTCCAAAGTTCGTAAGGATTTGTTATACATTTGGACGCGATTGGAGCACTCTGAATGGATTAAAACGGAATTTTTCAAAATTCAATCCGTATCATTGGGTCATTGCACGGGACATCAGAATTCATTTTAGAGATATGGTTTCTTCAGAAAGTATCTTCTTTTGATCCCTAGTATCCGAAAATTATATGTGCCTAAGGGACTTTTAAATTGACCCGCCCTAATATATATATATATATATATATATATATATATATATATATATATATATATATATATATATATATGAAGCTGAAATTCTCCCGAATAAACAAGTTAGGTCTCAAGTCTCAAGTTAGGTCTCAACAGGCTTCCCCATGAGTGGAAGGGTAAAAGCAGGAATGGTTTCAATGCCGCCATCAAAAAACATCTTATAGATCAACCTATGAATTCAATTAATGATTTTTTTAATCCGAGATAAATATTAATAGTCATTAGGTTAATACTAGAGTTGTTCATAAACATAACTGATGTTAGTCTAGTTATTTTATAGTATTGTGATAAAAATAATAATTGTATTGACTTAAATTGTAAATATTGAATGTAAATAAAGTATATATATATATATATATATATATATATATATATATATATATATAATCAATATGTAACTCAAACTAACCTTATGAACAACACTCAAATATTCTGCCATATAACTGAGAACTCCTTCGGCCACATCATGCTTTTCAGATTTGTAAAATGTTTTTAATTTTTCTTGGGGATGGTAGACTTTAAAAAAAGCCTCTGTTAGACCTGGTTGCCTTTCAACACAAGCAGCTACCAGCTCTAAAATGGCAGTTTTTAAATCTTCATTCTCTGTTTCATCACGCAAGCGTTCCAGAAACATTTGCCTAATCTGATCTGATTCCATATCCAGACATGCCATCAATGACATTTGGATCTCCTAAAACAAGTGAAAATAATGAATATTTAAGAAGTAAAGTGTTTGATTTATTTGTAGCTATATATAATCATTTATTACACTCACCAATGCAAATCTCTTAAGTAAGCGGCAAGCTAAACTGGGCAAATGTTTATTGAAAATATGATTCATGTATCCAGTGACAATTGGTACAATTCTTAGTGCATCTTTTTGTTTTGGTTGTGTATAGATTATATGTTCTAAAGGTGCAAGAGTATCTTTTTCCAAAACTAATCTTTTTAATCTCAATATCTGCATTAATATTGCTATAGCAGTCTGAACAAGCCTGATTTTTTGTATACCAGGCCCAGTTACCCAATTTGTTTGTTCTTCCATCAAAGCTTGCAAGTAAGGATTCCCAACTGCAACTAATTTTAATAGAGCTGTGCCATTCTCAATATTCAATAAGCTATAAACAAGAGTCTTATGTAGTATTTCATGACCAAAACTATCATCACTCTGGTCATACTGCAATATTTTAAGAAAAATTTGTGCACAGCTGAACAAAATATTGTGACGTTCATTCTCATCATTAAAATGCCAAGTCGATACATGAGGAAATAGATCGAGGAGTATGAATATCAATCCAGGCATTCGGACCTCCATTACACTAGACGAAGGGTGTTTCTATTGGATTAAATATATTGTCATTTTATTATTGTTATCTAAATTTTTATCCTAAATAATATACTTACATTAAAAAATGTAGAAAGCAAATTCATATATGCAACAATAAACTTAAACTGTCCTGTTGGTTTAGCAACATTTATTAAAAAATTTCCCATGCCATTTGAATGAAAACTTTCTCCGCGAGCGTATTCTTTGTAATGCAAATAAAAATTACTGATGCTTGGTAACAAATTAGTTCTACACAATTTTTTTTGAATTTCATCACCAAACAATGGCACCAAACTTGCAAAAACATTCAAACAGCTTGTTAAAAGATCGACTGGAGGATCTGATGATATCATATACTTAAGAGTAAGATCGAAAACCATTTCAGTTGGATAAACTAATTGCTCTGGAACATCAAAAGTTTTCTTAATATTCTTCATACAAACTGCTATTAGTTTTATGCCACTTTCAACTCTAATAAAGAGATCAATATCTGGATTTATTGAACCTCTTCTGGTACCCTCCAACAATTGAATTATTTCTGAATGCAAGACTTTCCAATAAGTAACCAGTGCTCCGAACTGTATTAATGTGCATTGCAACTGGGTATTAGGTTTCTTAATATCCCTAATAAGAACTCTTGAACCTGCTGGAATTTTGTAATCTATGCTCGCTAAAGGCTGATGGTCCTGCTCGAGAATGTACTGCTCAGAAGTAGGTGGCCCGGAAAAGGGAATTATGCGAATGCAAGCATTATTATGTAATTCAGTGAATATTGGTAGATTGGAAAGCTTCTGCATTACCTAAAATAGATCCATTTTGATAGAAAAAACTCAATGCATTTTGTTTGATACAATTTCAATTAACCATTGACAATATTTATAGATATTAAAAATGAAAATTACAAAAATACATACGAACTGATGACAAGGATCACCACATTTGGCCAATGAATCACATATTTGACTAAGAGCATTGAATTCATAAGGAAACATTTCAACCGCACTATTCCATATTGTTGTTATACCATTTCCTTTCTCTATATTTGCAAGAAAATCCATTGCAATAAATTTTACACTAAGCAACTCGGAACACAATTCATAGACAAAAGGATAATGCGATACAGAACCATCGCAATCAAAATTTTCACACATATCAATGAGCAAATTATATACTATTCTGTATGCTGTTTTTGACAATTTTGATTTATCCTAAAAATAATTTATAATATATATATATATATATATATATATATTTATTCAACACTATATTGCAAAACAATTGTATTGAAAGGAACATTCATAAAGATACTCACATATAACTGTCTTTCAACGTAAAATTTATGTTGTTAGACATGCAATAATTTCTATTCTACATAATTCAATTGCGTTGTTTACGCATGCATGCAATATCCATTAATTTAACACATACGTGTACAGCTTACCTTAAAAGAAACATTTCTGAGAACTTTTGTCAGAAATTCAAAAACATTTAATTGCAAAGCCTTAATACCAAACTGACTGTATCTATTATGAAAAGCATCTTTGCCCTTAAAATTATAGTTAAATAACATCCAAGATAAAAGAAATACACTGTGTTCTTCATTGTAATGTAATGTTATCATTAGCTGATCCAATGATTTATGCATTTTGCCTATCCATGTTTCCATTGAAATTCTAAAATTTAAACCAGTTTTTAAATATTTTGCTTCCTCAAATAAAAATTTCTTGGGCTATTATAATTGAATAAACAAATTTTAATTAATTGATTTAAAAAAACAATTGATTTTTCAAAAATAAAATGATGTGAAAATATATACAAACTTGGCAAAATTTTGAGTATCCATACACGTTAAAAACAGCACAGCCTCAAAATGAGATATTCTTTGTATTGCATCTGCATGTTTCTCCGATAAAATGCGCAGGTACCTAGGTTCTCTTCCAAAATTGTGTTCTTTGAAAAGTATTATAAGTTCTTCTAGCTGTGTTGAAGTCATATGTACTTCACCCACAACAACAATAAGCAAATTCAAAACTTGAATTAATTCTCTCATATTGCGTTCAGCCCATAATCTTTGCATTTGGAGAGTACATATATCACCATGTGACAAAACAGTTGGAAGTGGTTCCCTTATTAAACCTTCAAATTGTTTTAAAAGAGAATCTCTAATGTCTTCAAGACCAATAGCATTGAGAACAAGCTTATACTGATATCTGTAAGGATGTGATTCACTATTGTTGTATTCAATTAAAACTCCTAAAAGTTTTAACATAAACATGCGTTCTGATGAATAAAAGCCCCATATGTCTACAAGTAATTGTAATACTTTTGTTTCAGATATTGTAAATTTAACTAAAGCTGTAGGAGAACCACGAAATTCAGTTACTAGGTAGTAACATAAAATATCCCATAACTGCAATGCATCAAGCCCCTATTAAACAAAAAAAATTAAATGTCGAATTAAACAGTCTTCTTTAAAATTCGTCATTTATTATTTTGGAATATATTTCAACACCACAGATCAATAATATATTTCAAAGAAATTAAATTGTCTGTTGTGTTGAAACTGATATTAAAAAAATAAGTGTAAAAAATAAATCTTATTGAAAGCTCAATTAATATAAATAAATACATACCACGAATTTTTCAAGCCGTTCAAAAAATGTTTTCAATTTGAAATCATCTTTGATTGTGTCAGTTTTAAGTTTCTCTAAAGACTTTCTGGAACACGGTTTATAATAAAGTAGTCCGATTTTTAAATTATCTTTAATTCGTAAAAGAGTATTTTCCACGAAATTAGTGCTAGATTCATTGTTAAAACCGGCTGTTAACTGCCACAATTTTTTCCAGTTGCTAAAAGATACAATGAATGTTAAGAATGTTATGAATAATTATCGAATGGACAATACAGTCTCATACATTGTATCTCCTGTAGCTTCACACATTTCTATGGTTAAAAATAAATGAAAAATACTAAAATATCATTAAAACTAAAAACTTATTTGGTAATTAGGTTATGTTACATTACATTGACACACATGATAACAAGCGTTTCCATCTAACGGAAAAAAATAACAACGCAATAGCTCTCGGGCGATTTGACGTTACACCCATTTTAATTTACGAATTGATCACAACATGACAGCACATGTACAGTATGTAAATTAACCCCTGGTATTATTTCTACATTTGTACATATAATCAATACAGCCAAATAATTTGAAATTTTTTAATATTTGAAATAAGAACAAAACATACGAAATACAAAATATATTTTCAAATATATCACAGACATATTTTTGAAGAATTATAAACTAAACAGAGATAACTGTCTACTATTAATTAAAGTATATTACATACATATTTTTAAAGTACTTCAAATTAAAGAGAAATAATTTATTAATATTAACTACTTAATGACTAATAATAATATATTAAAAACTTAAAAACTAAGGAACCGATTCTGCCGCAATTTCATGATAAGGTCATGTTATGAAGAATTTTCCATAGTAATATAGACAAAAATTATGCGGTTGGTGTTCAGTCAGGCGAATTTCTCAGGTTTTCTGATGCAAAACATAACCTAAAAGCCGCACAAATGTCAAAAAAACGATGTTAGATAAGTGTGTGTTTCTGATACCACTAGATAACATACGAGTGACATTGCAGTTTATGTATAAAACGCCGGAATGAACAGCAAATACATGATATTTTGACAGCATTCAGTATGATTCATTCGCAAAATGTATGGAAGTCGGAGCGTAACATAGCTATGCCGTAACATTTCTCTGTTATGCGGCAGAATCGGTCCATAAGAAGTGAAAAGCGCAGGAGTATTGATGATGGAATGACAAATTTAGAAGAAATGACAAAGTAATGCAAAAATTTAATAGGATAAAAAGAACAGCACATGTTTAAAAAAGAACGAATACTTCCCAGACAAAAAATCCTAAAAACGAAAAATATTTATATTGATATCCAAATTGAGATAGGAATAAAATTCATTTATGAGACATTCTTCTTTATTATCTCTCCATTTAATAGTTAGTTTGCTATCTAATCAATCATTAATAAAGTTACATTTGACGAAATCTTTGAATAGTTTCTGTATAAGTGTTTTTTTAAACGTAAGTAACCAAAACCCTGAACTACTTTTAATTTATACCAATTGTAACTCAAACCTATCTATCGTTTTAAAGCAGTTTTTACTGCAAGAAGGTTTAGTTAAAACTATAACTAAACCCGTGCTTTTTATAAACTGCCTGATCTTTGAGTATGCTCTCTTAATTGAGACAATAATATCAAAATTCTTGCCCTTACATTTTACGTTTTCGAAATATTTGAAAACTTCTCAGAACATTGTATACTCTGTTGGAATTTATCCTTTAAATTATTGCATTGTTTGTTAATCCTTTTTAATCCCAAAACAAAATTTGATGTATCATATATCTTCTGGGTGTTAAGGCACTCCTACGCCTTATCACTGCATTCTGCAGCAATTTGCAGCTACCACCAAAGACTTCTGTTGAACATATTGTTATATCATATTTGATTAATTAATTATTTTTGCTGCAATTATTATGAAAAAATACCTTTTCGGAAAACTGGTGTCAGAATAGGTGACTTTTAACCAGCACTTGACAATCTTCAAAAATCTTTTTCAAAGTTTATAGGCTTTCATATCCTAACTAAGAACATAAGATTCATTTATTAATATTTTTTTGTAAATGGTATTGAAGTATTTAGAGTTATAATTACTTGGCCTTGTCCTTGGAGTTGCAGATTGTTCTTCTGGTTCTGTATCAGAGCATTTTCCAGTGACTTGAAAACTATTCTGGTATTGCCGTAAAGGAGACACTTCTAATTGGTTGCGATTTCAAATTATCTTCGATTTGTGCCACAAACCGAAGAGTTAGGTCATCCATCAAAGGATTATTCGCCCTCTGCATCCAAATTGAAAGCATCTTTTTACACACAAATTCATGGGGAGTTATAGATAAACAGTACAGTAGAACCATAGTAGAACTTATTTATCTATGAGTAGAACCTCGATTAACCGGACTAATTGTTGTCGAATGGCACCCAGATAATCGAAAATCCGGATAATCCAATATGTATGAAAAATAATGATGTGTATTTATCAAAAATAACAAATACATAAATAGATATCAACGAAAATCAATGTTTAATACGAAATTAACATTTCCCTAGGTATGTACATATATTTTTTCTTAGATTATATTATATACATATACTAAACTGCAGCATAAATCGTGCAAAAATTCGAATTGTAGGTATATACCAGTGGTGGGGAACCTTTTTGCCATTAGAGGCCACACTTAAATTGGCGGCAATAAAAGAGGCCGCATAAGCTGATTGACCTAAAAAGGTGACTTTTCTAAAATTATTATAGCTTTTTTTATAGTTTTAACAATTTATTGCATTATATAGAAAAAAGTAAATAAGATACTTCAAAATTTTAAAAAATGTCGAGATTTTTTAAAATGGAAAGAAATCGAAAATTTCTGGGTGTCGAAGGAAATCGAACGAAATTTCATTCATTTTCTTGAAGATTGGAAAAAAGTATGTAATGAGATAAAATCGACATCGTTTCGATAAAGTCGAATTTTAGTTCGTTTTAATTTCATTTAAACATTTATTTTTTATATAAAAATGACATTAAAGTCTTTTGGTTTGAATTTGATTTTCATATTCTTATTGTTACATAATTATTTGAAATAAAAAATTATATATTTCTCTTAGATCATTGAATTCACTGATAGATTTTCATTTTGCAAACTAAGATGTTAACGGTTAATTTATGGAATTTCGGGTTTTGGAAAATCAGATTAAATTCATTCGGTATGAATATTCCTGCTTGTTGTCATTCATGACAATAGTTATCATAACAGAAAAAGGATGAATGCATTAAACGCAACGTTACCTCTTTCCAAAAGAAATATACGTAGACACTATTGACAGACATTTAAAAAAATAAAATTAAAAAATTATTATTAATAAATGATGTACCTACTCCATTTAGAGAATAATAATGTTTACCCATGAAAATAAGCGTAATATTTGATAATGTATGAACTAACAATAATGAACGTGAAAAAAATATTTTAATTAAAATATGTATTTATTATGTTCAAAATGTATTGTTAATTTATATTTTGCATTTGAGTTGCTCTCATTTCAAATACCTTACTCTATATTTATATTTCAAGATTTAAATATAAATAAATTATATATATATATATATATATATATATATATATATATACTTATTATGTGCAAATAAATACGGACACATATTTTGCCATCAGCAATTTTTAAAAATATATTTTTGTATTTTATGAAAAAAGGTATAGTTTTGTGTCATTTTTTAACTATGGTCTCATAAAATTGCCAATATTGCGGATTTGCTCCGCCAAAGTTGCGGATTTGCTTTTGATTGCGAGAAGTATAAATTTTTATCATTTTACTACGGATACGCATAAAAATCTTCAACCCGGGTGCTAACGATTCTTTTGCACTGTTAATTTTTTTATAATACTTTTTGAACCATATATTAGGCGATGTCTTGCGAAATCGAAAATATTACTTATATTAAATAATATTAATAATATAATATATTACATCACTATTTTGTATCTGCCTAAGAGTCTGTGTTTCAGGCTAGTAATCTGATGTCATGTTACAATATGGCTGTTTTTGGTAGGATTTTTCGCGGTACTGTTATGATGTTGATGTACAATAGTTGTTTGAAAGTAACTCTGCTATTTTGTACTAGACGGCAAGGGGCCGCACAAGAACCTACCGGAGGTCGCATGCGGCCTCGAGGCCGCAGGTTCCCCAACTATGGTATATACATACATATAAATTGGTCCGGTTGGTAGTCTGGATAATCGCAAATCCGTATAACTGAGGTCCGGATAATCGAGGTTCTACTGTATTTTGGAAATTCTGAACTTTTTTTCAAAGCAATCGTACTGCTTTAGCTGCATAGATACGAAATATCGAAGCGCGTAAGCGCCGCGCCGCTGTCTAACGGATAAGCATTGGTACGGAACTCATAGGAATGTAAACAAAATTTATACTTATTGTTAAAATCTCTATAAAATATTTGATAATTTGATGTGCATATGTCTAATAATCATTTTTGACCGCCAAATACAATAATACCTAATACAATTGTTTTTGTTAGTGCTTTTTGGAACTCAACAAAACGAACTACTAAAGCAAAAAGGGCATCATAATGTTCTGCCCATCTAGTAGGGTTTAATAATTTAACGTGCCATTTTTGCTTTAAAAGTAAGTTTTCTTGAGTGCCAAAAAGCAAAAATTCAGAAATATTTCACTAATGTTTCTAATGTCAATAAGGTTGACTCATTTGGTTGATTTAAATCTTGATAAAATACTACATCCTTTGATACTATGACTAAAAAAATGATCAAATCTTTGATACTATGACTAAAAAAAATCAAATGCTTTATGATTAGATTAACTTGAAATTGTATTATTGTCTTTAGTTGTCTCACTTTGAACTGTAAGCAGAATTTAAAACTATGTATTACATAATACAGCTTATGAGGATGTATGTCATTTGTGAA